GGGGGTGTTGCCCGCCCCTCAGTTCCTCCAGCAGCTCCTTTCTCTCCCGGCGCATCTGAGGAGGAGGAGGCAGAGCCGCCCCCGTCTCTCGGCTCCCGGCAGAGCGGCCGCCGGGTCGTTAATTAGGCTGCCCGCCTAATTAAGCAGCGCAGCCCGCAAGCTTGTTTCTTTTTCCCCCCCTTCCTTTTCCTCCCTTCACCGTTTTACAGCTCCTTTTCTCTCACAGCTCGTCGGGGATCTCCGACAGGTTCACGCGAATCCTCAAGAACATCCTGACGCAGAGGAGGTGAGGGCTTGGTACCGACACCCAGTCGAAGCCAAAAAGGGTGTTTTTCGTGGCCGGCCGAGGGAAGTCCTGCACCGCTTTTGCTGCCTTCCCCTTGAAAGTCACCTTTTTTAACCTAAAAAAGGTCCTTTTTGGCTTTGATAAGCCTTTAAAAACAGGATTCGGAGGGGTTTGGTGCTGTAAGTCCTCCGGACTGGTATGCGTCAGGCTTCCCCGGCTGATGGCTGCCCTCAGAGACAGCAGATACCTGGGGACAGCCGAAAGAAGCAGAAATAACTCTTTCTACCCCTAAATTATCTGCCGGTTGTGTCCGAGACGGTGTCACGGCGCTGTCGCTACAGGCGAAGGCTGCAGTAACCGGTTTTTTCTCCCCCCCCTCCCTTGCCTCTGGCAGTTACTACCCGCTGTACCCCCCCTCGGAGGAGCTGAACGTTGACTACGAGAGCTTCTACAGCTACGCCTCGTTACCCGTCACCCCGGATGTCCTCGTCACCCCCTCGGAGCTGCGGTACTTCGTTAAGGTCAGGCGGCGCGCACGCTTGCTGAAATACCCCCCCCCAAACCCCACCGTATTTTGACGTATTTGGGCAAAAACCCGATTTACAGCCCGAGTGAAGCACAGTCTCGTGCGCGGCAGCGACTGTAGCCAGGGGGGGTCACGGCCGTCAGCGTCCCCGTCGGCTGTAGCCAGGGGGTTCATGGCCGTCAGCGTCCCCATCGGCTGTAGCCAGGGGGTTCATGGCCTTCGGCTGTAGCCAGGGGGGTCGTGACCATCGGTGTCCCTGTCGGCTGTAGCCAGGGGGGTTGTGGCCATCGGCGTCCCTGTTGGCTGTAGCCAGGGGGGTTGTGGCCAACGGGGGGGG